CTGCTGCTGCTGCTTCCGCTGCTGCTGCTGCTGCTGCTGCTGCTGCTGCTGCTGCTGCTACTGCTGCTGGGCCCGTCAGCATTGGTGGGCCCCTCTGCTGCTTCCTCTTGCTGCTCTTCAAGCTCTTGCGGCTGCTGCCCCTCCCCATGCTGCTGCTGCTGCTGCTGCAGCGACTGAGAAAGTTTCTGCTGCGAAGCGGAATGCCGCATGCCCGTGTCTGGCTTCCTGTCCTGCTGCTGCTGTTGCTGCGGCTGCTGCTGCCGATTAGTCCGCAGCAGCAGCTCCCCTGTCGAGGCCCTCCGCACTCTTGCTGCTCCCACTGTTGCAGCAGCAGCAGCAGCTGCTGCTGCTGCTGCGCCAGGTGCTGCAGCAGCAAGCTGGTGGTCAGGGTCATCCGAGCTGGTTCGTGCTACGCAGCCATCCCCTAGTACTGCAGCGCCACTTTCTGCTTCTGCTGTTGCTGCTGCTGTTGCTGCTGTTGCTCCTGGTGAGGCGGGTGAGAAGGTGTTTTTGCTGCTGCTGTCGCCGCAGTTGAACTGCGAGCTGCTCACCACAAGCTCGTGCTGCTGTTGCTGCTTCTGCTGCTGCTGCACCTCCGCCTCCGCACCTGTCCCGGACTCCGTCTCTGTCGCATTCTCTTGCTGCTGCTGTTGCTGCTGCTGCTCCAGCTGCTGCTGCTCCTGCTGCTCCTGCTGCTGCTGCTCCTGCTGCTGCTGCTGCTGGCCTTCGTGCGCCTGTGCATCTCTGACATCTTGCTGAGGCTTCGCCGCCTCTGTTTCTCCCCCAGCGACGCTGTGTTCTGCTGCGGCTGCTGCTGCTGCTGTTGCTGCTTCTGCTGCTGTTTCTGCTTCTGCTGCTGCTGCTGCTCTTTTGTGCTGCTGCTGCTGCTCTGATGGCCGCCCGCTGTTGCCCTCGCGCAGCGCTCGCGCGCTCTCCCAGGCAATCATCGCGTCTGCCAGCGCAGCTGCAGGGGCAGTCTGCTGCTGCTGCTGCTGCTGCTGCTGCCGTGCTGCA